ATGTCATGTCATGTCATGCCATGCCATGTCATGGTATGGTATGATATGGTATGGTATGGTATTGTATGGTATGGTATGTATGTAAGTATGTATGTATGTATGTATGTATGTAAAGTATGTAATGTATGTAATGTATTTAATGTAGGTAGTGTATGTAATGTAATGTAATGTTACGTTACGTTACGTTACGTTACGGGGTATGGTATGGTCTGGTCTGGTCTGTCTGTCTGTCTGTATGTATGTATGTATGTTTGTATGTATATTGTATAACGGTAGGTATATATAGCGTATTGTTTGTATATATTTTAACAGTATATATATACATATATATTGGATGTTTGCTGCAATCCAAATGAGATACCAGTAGAAACCCGGAGGCTGTGGCAAAAAAGACTACGATGGAGCTGAAGTCGGGAAAGGGCCGTATGGTCGATGCGGAGGCAACCGATGGTTGTTGTTGATGTGGTTCATCCTTCCGCAGAGGCATCCGATATGGGTCATCCACATCCCAGGGCCCAGGAAGTCCCATTAAGTTCTCCTTGTACAGCAGTTATTTTTGTCAGAACTGGTCTGATTGGCCAGGCCAAGAACATCGAACTGACCGCGAATGTGGCACAACTCATGGAGGTTCGGAAAATGATCTTCGTCCTCCTGCGCTTTTGTCGTCAGCTGCAATCCTGTCAGGCGCTGATACAAGCAGAGGCTCGCGAAAAAGAGGCACAGCCCCGTCGCATGGGTTTTGTTTCTTGTTGTTTCGGGACAAAATATATACATCATGGACATCCTTCTCAAGGTTAGGTTGTCCCGTGACCCATTATATCTAATCCTAACAGCGCCCAATTTTGTTGGTGGCCATTCAGTGGTTTGATCAGAGGTTTGTCTCAAGCAAACCTTTGTCCATTGCAATGTGGTCTTTTAGGAGAACAGAGTACTTCATCCCGGAGACAAATGTACCTAAAGCACTCACGGGGCGCATTTGAGACGCATACTGTACCTTGAAACACAGACAGTGCTGTTGCAAGATCCAGGCTCTTGAGCTTGCAGAGGGACGGGGAACTCCCTGGCATGTTGCGATGATGGGATGAAAACATTGAGGGGTTTGAAACAAACTATGTGCACCTAGATAGGCAACTTTGACCTGAAATGCGTTTGGTCTCATAGTGATCGACTTCAGTGTCTGTCAGCCAGGAATGACACATGAGAAGAAGAAAAAGAAGATGCTAAAGGCCAAGACATCTGCCAGCATGAGCTAGGCTGAGTTGGCGCAGGCATCAATGAGCCCAGATGAATCTGAGACATCCACATTTTTTCCTGAGTAGAAAACAGTGCCAAGCTCCAACTCTTGTCAAATTCTAGGAGAACCAGACTCCGCAAACGCGGACGACTGGGAATTAACATCCAAGCGATGGAAAATGGCCGTGTAGCCTGTTGCTGCGACTGTTCCGTGCAAGTGTTCTTGGGTTTGCATCCTTTGCCGGATGGGCCAAAGAACTTAGCACAGAGTATCACATTGTATGCGCTCTACCATACTTTGAGTGGTCGTTGCGTCGACTCAGCTGTTGTGGGCAAGCTCGGGGCCGCGACTTCTGACCACTCGGCCAGATCCTTCAGCAGCTGTATGTCTTGGCCAAGGAACAGCCTTTGCACGGTGCCCAGGTGCGAAACAGAACTGACGTTCTTGCGACACAGATGACAAAAGACTTAAACCGGTGCAGTCGTATGTAGATTCCAAGACCTACGACTGCTTGAGACCGTAATGATTACGCTTGTTCGTTGGCTCGTTGCTCATAAAGAAACTGATGCACTCACCAAGAGCTAAGAAGTGCAACGCGGGATTTCTTCCTGCTTTTATATAGAAGAGATGGAGTGAGGCACAATTGAACATGCAAACGGCAGGTGTAGCGAGAGAAACGCTTTGCGCGCGGAGGGAGAGAGAGTGTGTGTGTGCACCCTGGACTCACGGGCCTCTGCGGAGATTGAACGATTTTGGAAGCGGGGGGCACGGTGACCGTTCACAAAGGCAATGGTGTTCGGTCGGATGAGATACTTGCCGTAGTCTTTGGTATCTGCTCTGTGTCGCTTCTGGGCGCGTGTAGGTCTTCCGAGCTACCGGACTACTTCACTGCTTTCTACATGCTTGACTTCGTCCAACATCCTTGCTACTAATAGCGTCCTTGCTCCTAGTAGTAAGGCCAGGAGCCCCTAGTAGCTTCTTGCTCCTACATGCTTGACTTCGTCTTCATCCTGTACCTCCAAGACTTACTCTTCTTTCTGGACGTCGTTGTCTCGGGCGCTCTGGGGCATAGGTCGGCTTTGGGTCCCTTTAGCTCTGTCTGCTTTTCGGTGGTAGGTGGTCCCTGCAAGGTTGCCCGCTTTACCTTTGGCCTTTCTCTTCGGCCTTTCCTCTCTCTCCTCCTCCTTTCCTTGTCTGGTTTATATGTTGGATTGTCTCCCTTCCCTTTCTGGGAACTTCCACTTAAGGTCCTGCTGGACCGTTTGAATTTGTGTTAGTTCTGGGCAGTCTAGGGCCTTCTCCTTTCAGTGAGGTCTGTTAGGGGCCTTGGCATTCCAACCGTACGTGCACCAATCTCGTGTGTATGCGTGCGTGTACCAATGGCACTCAGAGTGCCTCTCACTTATCACTTATGGAAAGATTGGAGCTGCCGGCACGGGCTTCACCGCAACTGGCTGCATGAACGACTACCCTTTGGCGACCCCGCCTTAACAAATTCCAGTGACCGCTGCTATTATTTCCATTTATTTCCAGGACCCCCATCCTGATGCTGACTCCCAGACTTTCATGCAGGCCTGGTATACCCATGGTTGGCAATTCTATTTCCTGCAGACAGTTCTCGCCAAATAATACATCAGCCCCCTCGTGCAGGATCAACCAACTGTTCTTAACAATGTTGGCCAGCTCCTCTTCCAGATGAAGTTTGGGGCCCCAACTACCTTCGTTGTCCTCCTGAGCAGGAGCTTGCGAATTTGATGGCATACATCCAGGCCTATCATCAGCGGGTCCCTGCGGCAGTGATCTATGTTTCCCCCTCCTTGTTTATCCGTCAGCAGAGTTGCCCATGTCGGCGTCTTCTGCATCCCAGTCACACTCCTCAACTTTTGCACATTCGACTTTTATGGAGGACACGACTTTGTAGCGACGACCATTCAAGAAAAGGACCGACTGCACTTCTCGTAGCAACTGCTTGGCATCCGTTGCACTCATACTTTCTATGTGGCTTACTCAGGCAATTTGTTCATTCAGGCCTTTGGGCGATGGCGCATTCAGATCGTACGCGCAATGTCTTGAGTGTGTTTGTGCATGTCGTGTCCACGCCTTGGCACACCCTCAACAGTGTCGATGCGTTTGCGCAGCTCCGCACTATGAGAGTGCGATGAGCAGCAAGCAGCTGGGTGGGTCTTCAGAGCTCCTGCACAGATGGTCTTCTTTAATTAAAAATATATATATATATATATTGGATCCAAAGGTCGGTTCGTAGGTTTAGAGGGGTCCAGGGTGACACAGTTTTGACCGAGGCCAAACTATACAGCCTGTCCGGAGGCAGGGCCTGTCGATGGTTCAGGGTGTGGAGGGTCCAAACCAAGAGAATGCGCTTTCAACCTACTAATAGCGATGGCCTCCAACTCAATGAATGGCCGCCAAGAGGATTCAATGATTCTGATCATGTTTGTACCTCGTAACTGGAGACACCTTGTTCATCCTGATAGAATCTAGCATGATCTAGCATGTAATATTGTTCTCAGTAGGCCGAAGTCGCATAAAGGAGTCGACTGTTCTTGGTTAATGTGTTCAAGGCACAGTTCTTTGAGCCTTTTTTTGCCTGAGGCCTTCAATGACCTGTCCCTGATGACATTCCCACAGGATGCCTTGTGGCAGATCAAGACAAAAGAGCCTGCCTCTATTGCTGCATGTAAAAAGTGGAGAGTTGACAAAGAAGAAAGAACAGAAAGAAGGCGGAATCCAGGGACTTGAGAATAACACACCAATCGTGCCTAATGACTGCTCGTGCAGCTCACCTCGGCTCGTATCACACTTCACCACAACGAGGCTGACAACATCACATTGGGACATTGCACCCCGCCGCAGCAGACGTCACTCACATCACTCCACCTCCGCATACATATGTACAATATACAATATGTGTGTGTGTATATATATATAATATGTTCCATAGTAAGGAACAAGTCGACGGTAGACAGTGGAGGCCAAAGTATTCAGGTGCCAGTGCCATGCTGTCTTTGCTCGTGGCCTTTGTGATTCTACAAGCAATTCTTCCTCCATGCAGAACTTCTACCCAGAACAAAGACGTTGCGCTTTGTAGCAATGCCAGTGACCAAGTGGAGCTGCTCCAGATGTTCGCTCCCAACGGCACCGTCCGAGCACACCATGCAGAGAAGTTGGGGATGTTGGGGAAGCACCACTCGTTGAAGACTGAAGAGACATGCTGCTCTGCCGAGGATGACGAGAAGCTTGCCTATATCCAATCGGAACTGGACAGCATGTACGTCTGGGACATTGAGGATGAGGTAGAGCAAGCCATGGAAATTTCAACAAGAGAGCTAGAAGAAGAGTACAACAAAGTTGTCTCGGGCGAAGTGACCTGCAAGACATCCTGGACAGATCGCCTGAAGACTGCTGGTTCGGCTGCCTTGAAGATGGGAGCGCAGCAAGCAGTGAAAGCAGTCCCGTATGTTGGTGGAGTCTTAAGCTCGGTCGTTAAAGCCTTTTGGCCATCAAGTGACAACTCCTGTGACATTTGGGAACTGATGCTTGGTCAGGTCCAAGAGCTGATTGATGTGTCGATCATGAAGTCGGAGCTCATTTCACGCTATGCAGATTTGTTGGCGGTCAAGAGGTTTTTGAACCGGTTTTCATCGAGCAGGTCCAACATAGACCGCGGAAACTTTCTCGGCATTGCGTTGGCAAAGGTGGAAGATGTCATGGAACACTTGACCGTTTCCGAGAACCGTGCGCAGTTCATTCCTTTGGCTGTTGTCGCAGCCACCCTGCATTGCACAATTCTGCGTGTGAGGGTCCTTGTTGGGATGGATCTCTACGGTGCGTGGGATGCCTCATGGAACGCTGAGCTCCAAGAGGCGGTGGCCTACTATCAAGACGGTGGCCTACTATCAAGACTATTTCAACTATGCCTATAAGGAGTGGTACGAGTGGCGGTCGGGCAAGATTCACAGTGTGGTTATAGACAGACAGACCGGTCACACCAGGAGGAGGTCGCAAATCCAAGGTCACAGATAGCTTCACGACAAAGGCCTATGTGGCGGGATGTGAAGAGGCCGACTGGACACATCTTGGAGGCATCGGGTATTCTGACTATTGTGATTTGATCAAGGATTACCAAAAGAACCACATGATACGAGACTACGCCCGCCCCATCATTACGGCGTTGCAACCCGTGATGAATTTGCAACGTTTGATACCTGGCAGGGAAAATTCTCGTGTTCAAGTGCTGCCAGCTATCGAATATGTGACGCTTGGATACGCTTGGCCCCTTCGCCCCCTACACGCAGTACATCTCCGACGTGACTTTCAGGTCGAAGGCAGGGTGGATCACACAGTGGCTGAACCGCTCCAAAGTCTGTGAAAATTCTGGGGGCTTTGGTGGCCCTGGCAACATCAGGGAGATCAACATTCGTTCGGGCAGCGACGTCGACAAGATCGAGATGATTTATAAACGCTGATGACCAGACATGTGAAGCTGGTGGTTCAGGTGGAACCGCCGCTACGCCTATCGCGATGTCCAATGACCAGTCCGTTTGGAGTTTTTCGTAAATGTGTTTCAGTGACAATTCTTTGACCTATATGGAGATTTGTGGCACCAACGTGTTTGACGGCGAGCGCAAGAGTTTTGGGACAGGTGAGTGCGATGCTCGAAATGGTGGTGCTGTCATTGAGGGTGAGGGTGACACCTACAAGCTTGCAGGAGCTACTCTAAAAGGATTTGTGAATGAAAACGTGTTTCACGTTGAACCAACGTATCGCTTCGCAGCTTTCCAAAGCTTCCAGCGAGAATCTTTTGCGAAAAGCGCCGTGAGATCAGGCGATATACTCAAAGCAAAAGATGGCCTGGAGTCTCCCAACAACATGTACAGGTTCAAGGTCCAGGAGGATGCCAACCTGGTCATCTATGATGTCTATGACAATGTCAAGTGGGCCAGGTCAGATGTGGCGCCGGAGGACTGTGCTGACCCCTCTACGCTGCAGCTTCGGCTTGAGAATGGTGGAAATTTGGTCCTGTTCTGCGGTGATCTCATTAAGTGGGAGAGCGGAACGGGAATCCCAAGAGACATATGCCGCATAGTTGCCATGCAGAATGATGGCCAACTGGCGATGTACAACGTTGCTGGCCAGCAGTCTGGTGTTTGGTCCAGCGGAGACTCCATTCCAGTTGGATTTGGACCAAGCAACTTGACCAGCCCTCACAGCTTGCAACTTGGACAGCGCCTGGTGCAAGGCTACTACGGAGGCAGTTCCTCCTTCGTGTTGTCCATCGAATCTGGAAGACCTGTGGTGAACAAGTGGCAAGACAAAGCAATTTGGACTGCGCCTGCCAGCTGCGAGGCAACCGACAATGCAGCGTACCTCCATCTGCAAGAGGACGGCGACCTCGTTTTGTATTGCGATGAAGCCCACATCAGGGTCGGATGGGCCACCAACACTGCAGACCCCTCTCTCGAGCAGCTGAGTGGCGTGAATGGGCTCTTCTTGAACGCAGACGGCAGCTTGGTGCTTATCAACAAGAGAGGTCAGATCAAATGGACATCAGGTTCTGGTCAAGAGTATGAGTATAAATTCGAATCATAGTTTGTTGCATTTGCTTCAGGAGCAAAATCCGTCAGCTTGGCCATTTCTTCCTGTACAGTGGCATTTAAATCATTTGAAAAGGCCCGCGCAAAAAACTTGATTTTTGAAGACTGCTCGCCTTGCTGTGGGATGTATCAGTGATGTTCATCTCCACCGTGTTGTGTCGAATTGTATAGCCCATATATACTCCACTTGTACAGTGTTGACTAAGGACTTCATGTATGTTTTGGCTCCAGGAGAAAAGGACGCTCCGTAACTCCGTAGCGTCGATATCGTGTTGCGATGGTAGCGCGAAGGCCCGGTGAATGTGAAAGGGACCTAGCTTTGAGAGCCAAAGAGGAATGGCGTAGTAAAGTGGAAAGCTCCTCGGAGGAGGAGGCAGGTGAGGAAGCGGCCACTTCGGCCGCGCCGGTGACCGAGCCAGAGAAAGAAGAAGAGAAGGATGAAGCAAAGAAAGAGGAAGAGAAAGAGGAACCTTTGCCTGAACAAGAGCCTGAGACCGAGTTTGCGACAGAAAAGACAGAAGAAGGAGAGAAAGAATCGGAAAAGGAAAAGGAAGAAGAGGGCTTGGAAGAACACACCCCTTCAGAGCCTGGTGATCCCGATCAAGCGGCCGGTGTGGCTGAGGACTACTCACAAGAGCTGCCATCCGTGCTTGGTGATTATTATACGCGGCAAAAGACGGAACTCGCCGCAGCTGGGAGATTCCATCACCAAGGTTGCGCGGCAGGGCAGAGAAGGCATTGGTGACGGCACCTTGGCGTTTGCCTGAAGAGCGAAAGAAGGCACAGAAGTTCGATAGACTCCGCCGGAGTGTCAGGAGTACCGCAGCCTCAAGAACTTCATCCGCCTTCAGGCAAAGCAGGGCAAGTTTTGGACGCCATAGACCAAAGAAGAACAGAAAGAGCATCGCAAACAGAGGAGCCAAGGAGGAGCCGGCTGACGATCCACCATCTGATCGCAGCGGTCTCCTATCAGCTGAGGTCAAGGAGCCCGATCCGAAGGAGGAGCTGAGTTAGGTTGCAAAGTGTCGGAAGAAACGCCGCCGTCGGAAGGTGCAGCGGGCAGAGGCCCACGACCCCGCCAACGGGGAAGGGCTCTGAAGCCCAATTCCTAAATCCACGATCTGGCAAACGCAGCAGCGCGAGAAGGCCACATTCCGAACTGTAAGCATTGAATGACCCTCCCAAGTCCGCAAGATAGAACGGTAGCTATCGCTGCTGCGCGAAAGCTTTGGAAGCAACCAGGTCCTTCAGGAGAACTAGGCAGCAACCAAGCCTGCAGCAGCTGCGACGAGAGATCAGTGCCGCAGAAACCAAAAACTGTAACTGTCGAGTTCATCAAAGCTAGGGGACTGAAAGGCAATCCATTGAACTTGAGAGCCCAGTGACAATCGGAAGGGCGCCAGAGCACGGATCGCAAGACCAAGAGAGGGTCGCGTGTGAGGGAAACCTCACAAGTTCGATCCGTCCCTGCAAAAGAGTGAGTTGAAGCAGCTTTGGTATATTGGAAGGATGCATGGCTTTGGGGCAACAGGTTCAACAGTTATCCGATCTTGTTCAACAACTTCAACAAAACCATTTGAGATTGGAACAAGAGACTCAGAGCTTGAGGGAAAGCCAAGGAGGTGTAGCTATGCTACGCAGCTGGTGCTGTAGGTGAACTATAGCTAAGGGCATGTAAGAGCTTAGAGAAGAAGAATGAAAACAAGGGGAAACAAACCCTGGTAGACGCCAAAGGTGTAGGAAAACCAGATCCATTTGATAACGCGGAAGACCACTTCCAGATGCGCGTGATCAGTTGCGTGATAACCTTTTGATTTCGGTTAATGGGTCACGAGTTCATCGAGGTTTTGGACTTGTGGTTAGAACAAGAAGATCAAACAAATGGTTGAAGACGAGCTTGGAGTTGGCACGGTGAGTGCAATCGAGGACCTAGCAGACAAAGCCGACCAGATCAATGGGGTGTTGTTGCCCCTAACTTCCGGAGAGACGGAGGATCTTCCACCAGAGCGGGTGAAGAGCTGGCACGCTGTCAGGCCCGCCATCGAACAGCTGAGGAGTTGGTTGGCGGAGACTGCGCTGGTTATTGTATCGTCCCTCACATCCAAATTCAAATCATTCATTTTCAAAGCCAGGATCGAGTTTGAGTTCGTGTCAAGGACCGCAACCAATGGACGTGGACTCAATAGGACAATGGGTCGCTATTCTGGTCAAAGGTAAAAGTAAGGGAAAAGGAAAACAAGGAACGGGTGATGGAAAGAACGGCTCAAGCAAAGGAAGTTCAAGTAACGGCTCAAACCCGGCTCAAGATATCGCGTGCTAGAAAGGACAAAAAGCGGCCGATTGCTGGAGCCAGAGACGGCTGGATGGTAAAGGTCAGGGCAATCCAGGCTCAGGAAAAGGCAAAGGCAATGGAGTTGTGCAGTCAGGACGTTGGGTTCGATGAGAGCGGCAAGGTGCCGTGAGAAGAGGTCAATGGCTGATGTTAGTAGGGTAGGCTGTCCAGAAGACGCTGGTTTACGCGAGGGGGGGCTGCAGAGCAGCGGAGTTGGATCTGTGTGAATCAGGAACAGGGAGTGTATAATGAAGAAAGGAATGCAACGCCGTTGCAGAGTTGAACGCTGCAGATGGCAGACCGAAAGCTCCCATCAATACAGGCCCGACGACCTGATCCGGAAGGACGAGAGGATGAAGGGTTGGAAGAAGTTGATGAAGTTGAGAAACCCATCCAAAAAGGAGCGGCGGAGGATCCTTCTCCGGCTGAGCGCGACGCGACAGGCCATGAACATTGTGGAGTTGGCGCCGGCGTTGCGTTGGACGCGCTGTGGGACAGCAGGGTCGGACAAGGCCCGAGGAGCAGAAGGCCAAGGACCTACCTGGACCACGTGTTCATGTCCAGAGGTGTTGTGGAGGATGAGCGAGTGAAGCCGATCCTCGCGATGAAAGATAAGGGGACGCAGTCCTTAACGGCAACCTTCGTGGGCTCGAAGAGACCCACCGCGTACGCGGCCAATTTTGTTGCGAGCTTCTTGCGGAATCTTGGGCGCAGGAAAGCGCAGCGAAGGAGACCACCATGGAGTGGGTCTCTGAAAAATCGCAGGATGATGATCCTGCTTTGCATGGCTGCCAAGACAGGCAGAAGAAGGCTCTGACGGACTGACGCCAAAAAGTCCTGGAAAGCAACGGCGGAAGACAGCCATAGCTTTTGGACAGCGCATTCAGAGAAGTTGGTGAAGGAGTGAGAGTCCTGAAAGAAGGACGGTACATAGTACATTGGACATCATGGCCGGCTGATGGAGTGCGACGAGGCGCCTTAAGGGAACATTCCGCGGCAGTGAGGAGTAGATGCGTGATGATCGCCCTGTGGTACCACCTCTTAAGGAGGGACGAGTGACGCCGCCGCAGCAGACTAGAGTGTACGTCCGAAGAGAGGACGCGCTCGAGCGCGGAGCCGCAGGAAGGCTGTCCAAGATGCAGGTGCATGTTGGAGGACAAGAGGACGACTGGAGGCGAGGAGAGCAAGGATCACAGAAGCAACAGAATGAAGATGAAGCTACAGGCTCAGGATCTGGAAGCGCGCCGCCGCCAGCGGCGGATGGTGAGAGCACCTTATCGAGAGGACTCGAAGAAATGAGTGGCGAAGGCCAAGGTACCAGCGCGCCCCAAGAAGCGAGCAGGAGAGCTCACGAGGGACGAAGAGAGCAGCTGAGACAGATGTGGAGCACTTGGATCCAAGGTTGGAAGAAAGTCAAGTGAGAGCGGGGCCATTTGCGCGTGTCCGAAGAAGATCGTCCAAGGAACCTACGAGGCGAATGGCGTAGAGATCATGGAGCAAGAGATCGTGGACATAGCTCATGTGAGCGTGCGTATGTCAGCAGTGGATATCATGGAGATCTACTCGCCCAAAAGGTTTAGCGGGTTTTGCGGTTGACCTGAGTGAAGAGCAAAAAGATGGAGCGTACTGGGACCTGTGACAGGCCACATGACATCGTGGGCACCTCTGGAAGAACATGGCGCCAGATCACTAGCGCGCAAGCGTTGAGTTGTATACCAAGCAACGTTGGCTCCTTCGCGAAGCTCCATGGGCAGCAACAAGCTGGAAAGATAAGAAAGTAGCTGTAGCCAAAGTAGACAGAGTTTTTGTGGTCAAAGGGCCTATGCGTAGATGGCGGATGATGGCGACGGACAAGAGAGGGCGCCAAGGTACAGGGTATGTCCGGAAAGAGACCGGATGAATGACCAATGACCTTGGAAGGTGTTTGGGAGCATCCAATTGAGAGGGGGAATAGCAAGACAAGCAGCGGTATACCCACCGCAGCTGGTGACAGCAGTGCGGAGAAGCCTGCGCAACACCTTGACGGATAAAGGCGGCTGAACGCCTTTGACATGTTTGCAGCAGGGCCAGTGCCAGAGACACCGTTTGTAGATCCAGAACTTGATAAGATCTACATGGATGATGCGAACGGTGGTTTCTTGCCAGCAAATAAAGTGAAGGATGCGAGACGCCTTGAGAAGGACTATGCCTGAAAGTCAACCATGGTGTCTATGTGACGAGGCCAAAGAACAGAGTGCTTTGAGGAGACGGGAAACCCACAATACCGGTGAAGTGGTTGGACACCAACAAAGGCGATCCAACAAACGTGAACTACAGGAGCAGACTGGCCGTGCGTGAGATCAAGTTTCCAGAGTCGAAGGAGGAGCAGTTGTCAGCAAACGTGCTTTTTTTTTTTTTAGCAACATGCAACCCTTAAAGCCTTAGGCCTTAGAGGCGATGAAGACTGCTATGCTCGTGGTGGGCAACCAAGAGAAGGTCCCGGCGCCTCAGAAGCTGAGGCTAGGATTGTGGGGCATCTCACGAGCCCACTTCTATGGAACACTGAAAAGAGGAAGATCTACATCGAGTTGCCGGATCGAAGAAGAGGAACAGCAAGAGGTGGACATCTTGTGAAGTCTATGAATGGAACGTAAGATGCCCCAAATATTTAGCACACGAGAAGGCCAGGTTCCGTGGAGGCATCTCAATTGACCTCCTCATCGAGACGTTCGGTCTGGAGAAACCGAATGGTGTCGAGTCACCTGGCGTCAAGAAATCTTTGGACCAGCAGATGCTGGAATCCCGAAGCCCACTGTTGGATAGGAGTCACGGTATAGATCCGGTAACAATGCGTGTGGCATCCTGGCGCAGGATTGCCTAGACATAGGCCTCGCCAATGCAAAGTTGGCGGACCTGAAACGGCTAACCCGCTACCTCAAGATGTATCCGGATGTGGCGCAGGTTTTCAGTTCCCAGCAAATGCCGACGAAGGTGCGGATACAAGCAGATGCAGACCACGCGGCGATGCTGTCGCAAGAAAGAGCACCACAGGAATGGTTGCCATCTTTGGCACCCATTTGCTCAAGCGCCTTTCTACCGGAGTCTGAATATTTACTACGCTGGACTTGGACTTGGACTTGGAAGTCGCTGTGGAAGGAGACTTGAAGGGGACGGCGCAGAGAGTTGGACTTGGCAAGGCGCGCCGTGTCCAAGCCATGTGGCTACAAGAAAGAGCAGCCGAAATTCCAAGAACAAGGGTGACGTTCTCACCAAGTCAGTCCCTGGAGTCCAGCTCCAATCCTTGACCGGCGGAGCAAAGGTCAGCTGGACATCCTCGAATGAGGCCCTGCCCACTCCACTGTTCAGAGGCGCTGAGCGTGGTAGGAGAGAAGAAGTTTCACTTTTGTGTATAACTTGCGCAGAGGATAAGCGTGATAAGCTTGTTGCAGGCGGGAGGAGGAGCGTCGAATTGTATAGCCCATATATACTCCGCATGTACAGTGTTGACTAAAAGGACTTCATGTATGTTTTGGCTCAAGGAGAAAAGAACGCTGTGTTGCGTCGGTATAATATATTTTAATGCTGTGCATTGTTGGCGTTTAATGTCATGTAGTAATTGTGACCGTGCACGGGTCAGTTCTGCGAATCGAGTTTGCGTGCTTGCACTTTCGGCGTGCCTGCAATACGGTGCTGTTTTCCTTCCGAACGTTTTGGCGCAAGTTTACGGAAGAGCCATGTGAAACAGGAAGTATCACTTCGTGTGTTCACAAACTTATGGACCCTGATGCCGCTTTGGATCTCTTGCTGAGCACCTTTGGGTATGGACTTTGCAGCGAGTACCATGAACCGACCAGGGAGTTCAAATTCCAACATAGTAGTTCGGCAACGCCTGCCCAAACACCCATAGCAGATCAATTGACAATGCGAAAGGACATGAACCCATCTTTCAGAACACGCAGCAGTTTGTGACGCATGTGGCAGCACAAATCACAGCTTCAGACCATTTCCATCGTAGTACTGGGAAGCCGAACCTTCGTTGGAGCCCACGCGATAGTCGAATCATTCTTTTTAGGGAGGCCAGTTTGACAGTTGCTTCTTCTTCATTGGACAAGTGGTCTTTTTCCCATGCTGGGAGCTTAGAAGGTGTTGTGGGAGTGGGAGTCACTTGTGACTGACAGCAAGCAAGTGAGATGAGAACTCATGAGAATCATGGGGACCGTCATGTAGCGACCGTGAGCCAGAAGTTTTTCTGCATCAAACCACCCGCAAGTTATTTTTCAAAAATCGTCGTGGCAATTGCGTACGTTTGGTATCAAGCATGAACTTGTACAGTATGTATATTCTTTTTCCCCGCATTGACGTGTGGGGTTTTTGTTTTTAGTGTGGTATCCGCTCCTCCTTCTTCTTCCTCCTCCTCCCGCTTCCCACTTGCCACCAACCAATTGCCACCCACCAATTGTCACCAGCCAATTGCCATCAACTAATTGTCACCAACCGATTGTCATCAACCGATTGTCACCAACCAATGGCCGCCCACCAATTGTCACCAACCAATGTCATCCACCGATTGTCATCAACCAATTGTCACCAACTAATTGTCACCCACCATGTGCTACCAACCAATTGCCACCCACCAATTTTCACCAACCAATTGTCATCAACCAATTTACTGCTCACCAATTGTCAATTGCCGCCCACCAATTGCCACCACTGACTGGCAGGCGTCGTGCTTTGGTGTTTTCCAGCTGGTCGGATGTACGCCCTGGCGCTGCTGCTGGGTCTCCGCCGCTGCGCCGCCGTGATTTGATTGGCAGGCGTTGTGCTTTGGCGCACAAGTTCGGATGTACGCCCTGGCGCTGGCCGGGGTTGCTGGGTTTACGCCCCGGTGCTGGCCGGGGCTGCTGGGTCTCCGCCGCCGCACCGCTGTGATTTGTGTAGCGTTTGTGTCTGTGCTGCCGTCCAATTGTCACCAACCAATTGTCATCAACCAATTGCTACCAACCAATTGTCACCAACCAGTTGTCAGCAACCAATTGTCACCAAGCAGCTGCCACCAACTAACGTCACAAGATCACAGAACATCGCACAACATCACACACACACACCACATACACACAACATCACACGCAGTCACGCGTGAGACAGAATTGAAGAACAGATTGATCTGCGTGGACTGTTGGCCGTGAAGTTTTGATGCACTGTAGCTCAGTAGCTCGATTTTTGTGCTACTAGCTTCTGTACTAGCTGGAAGTTTTGATTGACAGCAGCGCATCACTGGAAGATGAGCGCCGTGCGATCCCTTTCGGAACATCGCCACGCTGGAGCTGATCGGAGTCTTGGTGGCGGTCATGGTGTTCGCTCCGGGTTCGAAATGGGGAGGCGGTGCTTTGGTGACCCTCCGGCAACCTGGCCAGCACACAGTAACACACACGTCTTGAGAAGAAGTTAGGGTCGAGCAAGTAACTGGTGTCGATTGTGATGGAGCTAGCCGTCCAGTTGGGTGGCGTAGACCTCGAACTTCAGTGGGTTGCCCGGCGCAGAATCAATCAGCCCGTGGACGAGTTGACCAACGTTTCGAGGACTTCGACGAGGGGAACAGGCTAGATGGGCAGGCTTCTGGAGAGCTGAAACTGTTCAAGACCTCGAAGGAGGCGAAAGCAGCGCAGCGAGAAGATGCAGCGGACTTCAAGGGGAAGAAGAACAGCGCTGGAAAGACCCTTTTGGGTGAGCTGTGCATGACGTCCGACGTCTGTCCTTGGAAAAACCATGAGCAGTGTAACCACGGCAGGACTGGCTTGAGCGCAGCCCCTTGAAAAGGCCGCCGCGCGTGAGTGGAGTGACATGATCATTTTGGCAACGCATGGAACCATTTGAGCTGACTGCAGTCGGCTTGGTTGAAGACCCTTCAGAGAGAAGCTGAGCCAACTTGCGCTGCTGACTTTGGATATGCGGTGCCAGTATGTTGACGGGTTGTAGAAGCGGGTATACCGGGCTTGGGATCAACCAGGGCCAGGGCTGCTTGCCTTGAGGCTGCGTCGACCATTGCTGCCTTGCAAGGCTGGATGAAGAGAATGCTGCAAAGACTCCTCCGACCAGTCCTTTTACATGTGGAATAGATATCCTCAGGCTTGGTCGTCCCACTTCCGGTGCTTGAAGAACTCGAGGCCTTTGAAAAGCTCGGGTCGACTGAAACTTTCCTTCGCACGCCCACTGGAGCGATGCAATTTGCTCACATACCTTCCTTACTATCTTTGCTGTCGCAGTCTTGTTAATTCTCAAGAAGCCTCCTGTTTCCGCGCTCCTCGTTTTCCATACGCAGGCTAGCGCCACGACTTGTCAGTGAGGCAGGTCCAGTCGAAAGAGACATATAGCAAAAATTTTGTGCTTCCTGATGTTGACGCTGCCGGACCAGGAGTCACAAACCATGGAATGGAAGACCTCGTGATAGACGATCTATAGATATCTGCAGTGTACAAAGTACATGACCGGGGTGCTAGGGAGATGCGAACAACAACCTCGCAGATGTGTGCAAAGCTGGACTCAGGTTGCGCGGGAGAGGCCCTTTGAATTTGTCAAAGAAGAAGGTGCGATTGGGCGGGCTGGGCCACTGGGCCATTTTGCATCAGATTCGGCGCGTCAGACGATTAAGAGTACCATAAGATGATTGCAGAAAGGGGTAAGCGATCCAGTTGGAATTGAATACAAATGATTCATCACAGTAATTTCTGGGATGTGGACAGTCTTGGCTGTCAAAGAATTGGAGATCTTTGGACACAACTGCCAAAGTTTGGATACTCTATGGCCAATCGAGATCAGTGATAATTAATAAGCCGCTCGTGCCAAGCAGGTCGTGGTCTCAGCGCACGTGCCAAGAGGGACCTCTCGCACGGTGCCCCAAATAGGGTTTGGCACCTGAAAACAGTGTGCCGCGAAACGAATGACCTCGTGAAAGCATATACATATTTAAGTAACGTTGAGTTTTGGATTCGGAGATGCACGTGAGTAGACTGGTCCGTTATGGATCCTCCAAAGGCATTCAGACGATGTTAGCTGAAGGCTGGGAGATGTCGTGCTAATTGAACAGCCAGTGCTGGCAGTGGAAAACAATGGTAAAGGCAGGACCGAAGCTGAAGGAGTTGTGAACCGTGTAGAATACCTTCCATTTAGGAAGGACCGCAGAGCCGCAGAGTATGATCATACGGCTTAGCAACTTTGCACTAAGTTGGGCTATAGACTTCTCAATCCGAAGAAGACATCCAACCAGCAGCTTCAAACTAAGTTTTGAAGGTTTAAGATGGTCTTTGGGCAATTTTAAAGCACTTGATATCGCATGAGAACATGTTCAATGTCCAGATTGGTAGTCAGGTAGTCTGTTCTATCAGCAAGAAGCTTGGACACACTCCACAATCCTGAAGCTTGGGTGTTTGCGAGGTGACGAGTGGAAGGAAGACCTCCACAGTCGGTGCTCCTCATGATCACGTCGTATCACGTCGTTTCAAAGCAGAGTGAGGACAGCCAGAGGCATGGGACGTTACATGGCATTACATGCGCACCCCCATGTCGGAAGATCGCGAGAGATGACTTACATGCGTACTGCGAGATAGACTGTTCAGATCGAAGACCCAGGTGAGACCAGGTGGCCAGATGTGAGATCCGGAGGCTTCAAGTTTCGATTCATCGAAACCAGCCAGAGATGCGTTTGCGTCCCAGGTCCACGCTTCCACTGAGGCACGCATTGAAACCCTCCCGGCATCCCTTTTCTTGGTATTTTCTGGGTTTGGGCTGACGGCGATCAGGTACTTGCTGAAATATGCTGTAGCTTGCGAACCAAACACAACGCCAACACAGAGCTCGTACTCAGCTAGAGGTACGAGGCTCTGTCAGAGGAGAGGCAAAGCCAGGACAGACACGAGACGACTTTGTGAGAGTGCTGCATGGTGGTAGGAACATGGTCTTTAAATCAAGGGATGTTCGATATAATGACAAAGGGAATTGGCAAAGACTGTACCTGTTTGTTGGTTCTTTACATGATCTGTCAAGGAATATGGAACCTTTCTTGAGTTTAGGACTTGGTGCATTAGTTGGGTGCAGTGCAGTTGGCCGGTGGCCGGTCACCACTGCCGTCGCTACCACAGGTGTGGAATTTACATGATGCCTGTCTTCAAAAGCCGGAGAAGCAGCTGCCTCAGTTCCGCCGTCCTGACCGCCAAACAGCTGCGGATCATTTCGGATCTCACTCGTTTCGAAGGCTGCCCTTTAGTTCGATTTACAATGACTCAAGTCAGACGGCCCATGCAGCATTGTATTTGGAACATTTATTGTGGTGGAGGCCATCGCAATTAGGTTGGAGGCAATTGCTATATTATTAGGATTTATTAGGTGTTGTTGATCCCACCCAAAGCGATGTTATGAAAGCTTCATTCTGTTTAGGAGAGAATGCTTTCTCTAAGGCTGGAATTGTCCACTTAGCATACAATGTGCCAATTTGGCTGCCACTTGCATCTGCAGGTCACTAGAAGGTATTCTTTTCACCAACTGCATTGGTCGCAACCTCCCAGTGAGGCCCGATGGGGAAGTATCGTTTGGAGTCATGTTTGTTTTCCTCTCATACAGCTTGAACAGATTGTGTAAGTAGAGATGTGCAAAGGACTGCACAGATACTCATTCTGCAGATAGCATTGCCAAAAAGGTTGCAAAGACCAACCTCGCTCCATCCAACATCTCCCTGCGGTCTAGGAGTTGAAGCTTCACAAGGATGGGAACGCCTGATCAAGTAATTACTACTTTGCGCACTGACATTCGACTCGACTATATAATTTGCACATTTAGTGCTGAATATTCCCTGTGGTCATGCTTAGTCCCAGCGACCAGGTTTGATGCAGCCCTTTTCTTGGAGCTAAGTCGCTTCAACCACTCCTGCAGCAAGGTTCTCAGGGATAGAGTCTTGAAATTGGAGTGCATTCTTTGATATGCTTTCTACATATATAAATATATATATATAGAGAGTATATTACTTTTAAATTCTTGTAATCTTCAAGCAAATGTTGAATTGTTGCTCAACGAATGCAAGCTTCCGCATGCTGATTCGAGGTCCAAATCTGGAGCAGACCTGGAATGCCGATACCGGAGAGGTGGGAGTCCAACATCTCCACTTGAGACGATCGTTTAAGCAGAAGCTACAAAAACAAGTACACTGACATACCGAAATTTGGACTGTCAAAATGTAAGAACATGTTCAGAGACATAAGATACCTTCAGGAATAAAGGTCACCCCCTGTCGAATTCTGCTCCAGGTGCGACTGGTCGCTGCGGAGCCAGTAAAAGCAGGCGAAGAGCTTTGCACGCACTACGTGAGGACCTTGTGGGGCAGAGCATTCGGTTCCTGGTGCAGCCCCAACAAAAGAAGTGAAGGGTTTTCAGCCTGAGAGCCCTCTTCTACTTGACATGATCACGGTCAAGACATCAATCCAACACTAATCCAATAACAAGCTTGACCGTCTGACGTATATATATATATACATATGCTATTGATGAACTGGAAACAAGCTTGTGGCCAGCCCCTAATTTGCATGACAGCGAGTTACTGACCACCGTTGAGGTTGAGCTGCGCCTGGACCGGGCAGAACGCCGGCAGAGGCTGCATGAGAACTACGGCTTTTGGTACAAAACACCCAGCTGTTCTCTTCTTCAGATAATGTCAATGTAATACTACTATATGGTCAGTTTGGTTGGTGATTTGAATGTAAGCATTTCCACATGTGAAGCCAAGGTGTGAATGCCCAGCCTGTGCTCAGCCCAGCGAAGAAAGCGACAAACGAAGGAGTCTCTTTGCTTACACTGTGCAAGTGGAAACAACTCCTGGAACATATATTGACTTTGTGTGCAAGGGAAATTGCAAAGGGGTGCATGATGGTCCAATGTTGAGTTGGTTGCATGCCGAGTATATTTGAGCGATGTTTTGGGACAGTCTACGAAGTGATCGGCAGGACGGAGATCAAACGCAGCTGACCCAGGTTCTGTTAACTTTGTTTCCAGTTCTGTCCAATGCTTGCCGCAAGTCATGGATGGCAGAGACATGTTGACCCATGTCGTTCATCTTTGTTCTGTGCCTTTGTGCTGAGTGCCGGTCCTGGCACTTACTACAGTAGATAGTACCTGGATGTACCCCAATGGCACCAGGTTTGGCGGAGTCGATCGAAAAAGATCGGCAAGATCGGCTGAAGAACATGGAGCGTGGCGAACGGGCAAGCTGCTTAGCATATGACATGTCAATACATTGCATGCAAATGTGAACTGACCAGATTTGCAAGGTTGCCTTGCAGCAATTCAGCAGAAAGTGTAGATGCCCGTTTGACTCATGGTGAACAACAGCTTTGCAAGCATGGACCACGCACATAATGAGCTTCAGAATGCTTGTAGTAGGCCAATTACAATGGAGGCAACACCTTGGAATGGGTGCCAATTTGCAGTCAATTCATCTTGCCATCTAAGCTCCATGAATGGTCTGGTTTGTGGAGCCACAGCGTAGAAGCAGTTTTTGTAGCTGCAAAGCCTCACCCTCTGCAGTCCGTGAAGAGAGTTCTGAAGCTGTTGGACAAGGACACCCTGTATAGGGTGCTGAGAATCCAAGAGAGCCTTGAGACATGCGTTGTGGTTTGAGTGCTGCATACGCAGCGTGCAGGTTGAAAGGAGGTACAAATGCCACGATCCCGTCACCCAGAAATAATGCAATGGATACCTGAAATCAGAGCACGATAAGACATACAGCTTCTTTCTTAGGGAATGCCAGAGATAACATCCCAAGCGCATCCCGTTGGCAGGAAGGACTCCACCTGTTAAGCTGGCGAAAGACGAGTCGTACTCAGTGGAAGTGAAGGGATGTTCAGAATTTGCTGCAGTTGACTTGCCAGGCCAGCGGTCTTAGATGGTTTTAACTTTGATGTTTTAATCGTGGTACCAGTCGGAATTGTTTAATTTCCCTCTAGTTCCAATCAAAGTTGTTTCATTCTAGTGTGAGCCATCCAATTTTCTAGTGGGTGCCTTGGAATGAGGCACTGCTTGGCAGGCATGGAATTTGCCCTCCGTCAAGGTGGGTGGAGACACTGAGAAGACCAATCCAAAAGGATCCAAAAAGATGATTTGAAATGGTGAGAAATCTACAGTAATAGCAATGGCCTCCACCCTAGTAGCGATGGCCTCCAACCTAATAGCAACGGCCTCTAACCCAACAGCAATGGCCTTCAACCTAAAGTAATAGCAATGGTCAGAAATCTAAGTTCCTTGGTCATGGCAACACAGCAAATATAGCAACCACTTCGTGGCTTGCAGTGCTTCCAGCCAATCACCTTTGCCAGAAAGACACATTGCAGCATGTGGGCTACAGTCACGCATGGCAAGCATGGTGGGCACTCCGATGTTCAGCGCTTCTGACAATGCACACGGACCTTTGTTCAACATTTTACGCAGGTGATCTCGCAAAAAGTATTCAATGGGCTCGGAAGGGCCATCAATACGCAAGGCAGGGTGAATAATATTGATGCCCGCACAGTTCACATAGTTCCATTGTCTGTGTGTAACTTATGCATGATGTCAGGTATGCTTCTATGAGTTGTAGCAATCTATAACTGCATGGCGTGCAAGGTACTGAAAGGTGATGGAGATTTGAACCCACTTGGAACATCTCTATACTTGGAAGAAGAGGGGTCAGGTATTTTTAAAACTCAGCGACGAGAAAGCAAATGCACCTCCGAAGTGTGGGATGTTGGGGGTGTCTTGCAACTGCAATCGGCAAAACACGAATGCGAAGATCCATTTGAAGGCTAGCACATGGTCCAGATCACCGCGATACGAAGATGCTGCTTCAACTCATGGAGGAGTGAAGCAGGGCGAAGAGATTCTTTGATCCTGTCGCTCTTTGGGCGATTTGAAAAACATAGGTCCGGTTCCCTTAAGAAGGGGCCTTCTGAAAGGGGTTCTTACTTTCGTTTTTCTGTGTCAACTCATTGGAGCCGCAACAACCACTCCAGAAAAAAGACAGGTTCCACAGTCCAGGTGGTACACGGTATTGTTTTGCAAAACCATTTTCTGCTAAACTTGGAAGACTCTGAAGGGGTGTGTATTTTTTTTTGTATATGGTTTTGCAAACCATTTTAAGTTCCAATGCTTGACATCCTGGAAACAGTTGAACTGTTTTTCATGGAACCTTCTTGCATGACTGGTAGATCAAGTTCTTGGCGACGCAAGGACCCCAGCAGCCATCCCGACTTCCAGTTTCGTACGGATGAGGTTCGGCACTTAAAGCACCATCCAAGTGTTTGATGCAGCAGTGCAGCTGTCCTATTTTTGAAGGGCTGCTATGGCTGCTGCATTTCCGCAAGAAGAGAACATGTACGAGAGGGAGAGGAACCGGTGGCCTTTCTTCAAAGTTCTTGGGCTTTACCTGTCACTCATTTGTATCAGCCAGCACCTGTAAAGTCCCAGAGTTTGTAGCAAACGAGGGCAACTCCTCTGGGAGGAAAGAGAGGCGGTCAGCAGACTAGACACACCATCAGCTAGGGCTTTCGACTCTTTTTTCTTTGCTTGCCGGATCTTGCAAACATGTACGGCAAACCCCCTCAGATGAAAGACTGGACAGCATACGTTGTGGTGATGAGCATCGCTTTCGCACGCATCCCAGAGCTCATGGACACAGCAGCTAAAACACAACCACAGGCTCTTTGGAACATCATTACTCGTATGCAGTCATGCGTCCTTGCAAGAACGCTACTAGGGTCTCCTGGCCTTACTACTAGGAACAAGAAGCTACTAGGGGCTCCTGGCATCGCTACTAGGAGCAAGGACGCTACTAGGGTATGCAGTCATGCGGCGTGCGAAGACCTTGTTCTTGCCAACATTGCGTTTCTGAACACCCACTTTGTTGACACTGACCCCATGTTTTGATGCTGAGGTTGTCTTCACTGTTCTTTATATTTGACACGAAAAAGGCGTTTGATGAGAAAGCTCAAGCTTGCCTCAATTCAAGCTCAGCCAGCTTCACTCGAACTGACATTTGGCTCAGGGAGGCTTGCTGGCCACGCATACTGTAGCGATATCAGCGGTATCAGCATGTCTTGTTAGTGTGAACAGGGCTACACAGTTAAGCTCAAAGGAAAACTGGGTATCACAATGCCACACACACATACATATATATATATATTATATATATCCTTGTATTTTAGCAAAAAGAAGCGCACTGCTTGCCAAAGTTTTCGGCCATGGCAGATTCCAAGGCATGGCATTGGGGTTGTCATTGGGGATGTTGAGCTACCGTCACGACAGGCATAAATAAGGGTCAAAATGCACACCAGGGTCACCAACACTACCAGGACCAGGGCAGGGGGAAATACAAGATGTATACGTTTCATCACGTTTTCAAGCCCATGCTGCAAGGCCTGCAAGGCTCTTAGGCAAACTCAAGGAGGAAGACACGCACAGAGGAAATCCTCCAAAAAGGGAATGGACTTAAAGACTTAAGGGCATCGCCGTCGCTCCTAGCAGCAAACACGCTACTAGTCCCGGCCTTACTACTAGTAGCACGAAGCTACTAGTAACAAGGGCATCGCTACTAGTAACAAAGGGCATCGCTGGCAACAAGGGCATCGCTACTAGTAACAAGGACGCTACTTAAAGAGAAACGGACTTAAAAGTCTTTACTTAAAGACATTTAAAGACTTAAAGACATCTTTTTTGTGTTCTCGGCCTGGTGGCCTTGACGATCCGTACTTGGCTCAGGCCTCAGGCCTTGAGCTTACTGTTCGGTATCCGTGCGACCAGCGGTTCGGTATCCATGTTAGGAATATGATATACTATAATATTATGACTTATCTATATACACAAAACCCCTTAATTGCTACACCACAAGAAGTGCATTCTTGTGAATCTGAAAGAACGAACTCTCGAGTTCATCGCGGCCTCGGATTTTGACCCCGAGCGATCAGGTTCGTGGTGCTGTTGGGGCGGCTGCGGCCATTGTGCTCATCTCACGGCTCCGGGATGTCTGGCACTGAGCGGCGCGGACGGGAAGATGGAGCAAGCGATGAGAGTTGTGAGGTAAGCGAGGCTTGTGCCAACTTGGGCACGTCTTTTTCTCACGGAACATGGGGAGACTGTTCTGTTATGACTGGTCATTTGATGGTTTGGTTGAAAGCTGAGACTTGCCAAGGTTCAGCATTTGCCACGCCTCGTGCTGGACAAGGAGAAGTGAACGTGGGTGAATTCAGCAACAGAACGGAATAGCTAATCTTTATGTAGCGATCCAAGTTGTCCTTAGTTTCACCATCCATTCTTGAAAAGCAGCTTCAAGCCGACTGAGACTAGGTGAATAGGCCTCAAATGGACACAGGGCCCTCACGCGGCTGGATGTTCTTTTGGTGGCAGGGCTCTCCAACTCAGAGTTTGCGGATCCTTGCCTCTTCAGTGGCAATCTATGGCGGAAGCCTCAGCCCATGTCTGTACGAAGTCGACTTCGATGTCGGAATCCCTTCGCACTTTTGGAGAGCTGAGTGCCGTGTGTTTGGCAGTTCCACATCCGGATCCATCCTGTAATGACATGAAGCATAATTTTCCGAGGCTACGAGCGGCTTGTGGCCATGATCTTGCGACGTTTGGGACTGACAAGGCCCGACTTGACGAGTCGGTGTGATGTCTAAGCTTCGAATAGATCTTGATACGTAATTAGGTCTTGTTGGAAAGAGATTGGGAGATTGAGACAGTTCACAATGAACCTGACTTCATGACTTACCTTGCAGTAACCGTCGAGGATGCCCTCGACATTGGCGGCGATGCTTTCCCTGTTCGCAGCGTTGCGAACTGTTCTGCCCCCAGTCAGTCGGCGGTGATGGTATGAAATAGCAGGTCGATGCATGTCAAGCACTTATACTGCTATTTTCTCTTGATAGAAGTTGATAGTTACGAGCTGTCAGCTTCAATGGCTAGAGTCTAGAGTTTTTTGTGACATCATTCAACCTTGCAGGTGAACCGTGGCACACACACACATAATAGCACACCTGGATCACCAAGACTCCACACCTGTCGCCATCCGTGCAGCGCATGTGCTGCTCAACTCACCGCCGAAAGCATGTAGTCTTCTATGGGGGCAGCTAAGCCAACTATCGGGCTTTGAAATTGCTTTGAATCTGAGAGAATGTGCCAGGTGCAGAAAGTGCAGGGGAGGCAGTCCTCAGACAGGCAGGGATGTTGATCCGTGTTTCAGAGAGCAGGTCTTTGATATGGCCATGGCCAAAAGACTTGTCGTTCATCCTGAAGCCCTAGCTGCTAGCCGCGCCATAATCTCCGGCAGAGCCAGTGGAGTTTATTGCGAGGTGTTTGTGATGAGGTGAAGCGGAATGTGGTTATGTAACGGATGATGATTTGCCGAGACCTTTTGATACCTTTTCGACCTCTCGGCACGCTAGATGTCTCTGTCTATGCGCAGCCATCCACCTTGAGAGGCAAGGGGGCTTTCAGCCCAGCAGCATACTGAGCAAGTTGCCCAGTGCGTAGTCCGTGAGGTCCTCGTGTTGCTCTCCTGCAAATGTGGCACTTGGTGGTCATCTGCATGGCACCACTGGGTGGAGCTCATGTCTCGAAGCCATGCTGTGTAGTGTCCAGCGGTCTCTTGGAGCCAAAATGCGTGATGATGCACCGAATCTGGTATCGAACATGGCTGAGGGTCACACTCGAAGGCTCAAGGGCGGCTGGCAACATCACATGGTCTGTGAAGTAGACATTGGGGTTGTCTTTGTCCTTGAAGGGCACGGTCCTGTCCAACATGATGGTGACGAGCTGTGGAGTACCTGTCAGGCCAGTATGCACTCCCAGGGAATAAGTCCAGGAATCAATGATGTGCTCAAGTGTGAGGTTCTTTTGATCCGCAAGCCAGTCGAAATTCAGAACTCCCTGTCTGAGGTGTGTACCCCGTCTATGGACGAGAACCGCCTGGCCCAGCTGGCCTTTCCAGCAAAAGAACATCAGTTCTGAGGCACATTGCTAGGCTGGCAATCTGCAAAGAGCTCATGAATCCACCCACCATGAGCACCCAGGCCTGAGATAGAAGACCAGGCGTGGTCACTACGCCTCAGAACAGAGCAATTTCAATGGCGTTGATGTAGCGCCAGTTGCCATCTTTGGTGAACTGCCACTTCAAAATTGCGCCCACATAGTCTTGTGATGTGGGTTGAGTCAAGTCTCCTGCTTCAGCAGGAGAAGGCATCCTTTGCCCTTCGATTTACCCTTGCCACAGGCCTGAGTTGGGATTGAAGAGGGGCTTCCAGATGGAGTTGGAAGGAAGACGAGTCAGGTTCTTGTGAACCCTGTCGGTGCTCAGGCTGACTTGGAGCTTCCTTGGTGTGGTCACATTCTTGGTCTCCGGTGACTTCAAAGCCTGGAACTTGAGGCAGAGAGCTGGATCGCAAGCCTGCTCCCGTAGTTCTGTCAGCAGTGTGACCATTGCCTGCGTACACATGCTTCTTGTCCGGGCACCATCCTCCAGCAGCAGGCTTCTTTTCCAGATTGGACTGTCTGGAGTTGCCTTGTTCAGGTTGGTACTCGATCCAACAGTGCCCCCATGAGTGATCGTCAAGGTCCTCAATGGCTGCTCGGGCGGTGTCGACTTGGAGGAAAATGATGAAGCCGTTTTGTTTTGCAAGCGTCTGTAACTGGTCTTCGCGACGTAGCGTGAGGATTGCGCGGGCGGTCAAGTTGCGGAGCAGGATCCGAGGGTCCACTTCCTTGGGATGAAGTGGCGGTGACCGGAGGGGGAAGCTTGGGCTGTTTGGCCCTTGCGTCTTCTTCTGGCCCCGGCCTTAGGCGCTTCAGTGGCCCCAGCGCCCATGACCCACTAAGGCTTTGCCACAGAAGCTGGCCACTTGGATCAGGATAGCGCAATGGTGCTTGAGCAAAGAGGGGAACAATCAAGCACCTCTGCGCGCTCTCGGCACGCTGGAGGGGGACCTGAGTAGGTGCTCCGGGCAGAGTCCAGAGAGATAGATGCTTGTGGGCGCCTGACATGCTGCGGGAGCTTTTCCCACAAATCTGGCAGCACAGGCTCAATCAAGTGCAACTTGATCGTGGGTCATCAACTATAGGTAGTCAAAACCTCGTTGTTCAAGCGTCTGCAATATATTCGGTTGACATCTTCCGAAAGGAAAAATCTAGCCCGTCTCTGATCTGAGCACGAAGTCCTCAGGTGAGGTGGAGCTGCAAGTGACCGCTGCCGAGGTCTGTCTGCACCAACGCGTAGAGATTGCAGAATCGATGGGCCTGAGCTCGTAGGAGGGCCGTACGAAAGTGAACTTTCCTGATGGGCTGACGGGCTGAGAGGACATGTCTGGCTGTAGTCCGCAGCTGTTTGCGCCGATGCCACGACTTCATGCGCTTCAAGAACACCGGGGCCAGTGCTGTGCAGGAAGGGGCCGGGCCAAGAACAATCGTGTAATCGAGAACCTCCGCGAAAAAATGTGGCTTCAGAGAGAAGGGACGCACGAACAAGGGGGCCCGTCCGCTCAAACCGTGCGGGAGTGCCTGCTTGAACACTGGTAGCAGCACTTGATGATTTGCTGCGTGTGGAGTGGTGCAATGTGATGGTTTGTATTGATTTGTGATAATGTGGTGCGTAGTGGCTTGTGAGGTAGTGATGTGACTTGTGGTGACAGTAGTGTGATGTGGCTATGTGTTCATTGTGGGTCATCCAGAGAAGTGTAATGCGGTGATGCAGAAAGGCCTCCTTAAAGAATCGTCGATGTAAGGAATGGTTCCTAGATTCACAAGGGGTGAGCAGGATGACTTGATCGAAGGGTTGCGTCTGCAATTGGCAATTGCCACTACTATGGCACAGCTTTTTCTGAACTCCCCTGTTCGACATACTTGTGCCCTTTCCTTTTCGAAGGCTGGCTGAACTTCTGAAGCCGGGTGTGGACTTCTTGGGCAAATGGATGGGCCTTTTCTTGGCCAAAACCCAAGTCGGGATCAGGACTATACGGACCACACGAGAGAAGAATAGGCAAAGAACTGCAGAAAAATGATATGCCAAACAAATCATTATCCGCATTGTGGATGTTTT